ACATCATTCCCATGGGAACATGTGAACATATTAATAATAAAACGAAACTGAAAGTTGGCCACCATGTGATTTCCGTCCTGTTCCTGTTTTTTCACATCACAAACTACATTTTCAAGTGAAACACGACAACATAAAATCACTTTTACGGCACCTTTCAAATGTTAGCTGTACATGTTTAAGATTATACTGTAGTACTGGTACTTTTAATAAATAAGAGCCCAAAATAAAGGTGAACACCAAACAAAAGCACAAGACAAAGGTTTTCAAACAACTGCTGACATTTTTCATGAATTTTTGAAAATTCTAATGCATATTTGAACTTAAAATTGAACAACAAGACTTAACTATATAAATATAAAAAGTACAAAACACTTAAATATAAATATAAATTTAATAAATAAATTATTGTCGGTGGGTTAGGTTTTAACATCAAATAACTTACCATCTTAAAATATCAAGATTAATAAATACAAAACACTTAAATGTACATAATGTCCTGGTGTTGGAATCCTTTTGAGTGAAATACAGCCACACATTAGACTGTTTAACCATGTTTAACGTAGCTACTAGCTAACAGTAGGCATTTGCTAACAACAGAGCAAGTGTAATACCCGCTAGCGATGGCACGTGAGGTGCAGTGATGCTTCTGTTGCCTGAGCACCAGAGGGCAAATATTTCAATCGACAGGTCAGGCATTTAAGTGGCACTGAAATGAGGCACTGTAATCTACGCTACCATATGGTCTGGTACAATCCGATCACATACGAACTGCTGCCATCTTCGGCACCAGGCTTCAGCACTCAGCCCTACTTACGCTACCTTTTCAGATCATTGACTCATTGCATGTCTTTCACTCCACATCTTAAAATATCACCAGTGTGTATAAAAAGTTATGCAAGAGCTTCCTGACTAGCATGTACCGTAACTGGTTATATCGTGTGGAGTTAAGGGTGAACCAGGAAAAACAAGGCACAAGGCAGGACACTCTTACACATGCTACCCGAAACTTAGAAACTTTCTTCTTAAAAAAAAGTGATTTCTAAATCACTCTTTCTAAATCACTCACTTAGGGATGTAGGAGGAACCTGGATATCATGGCAGATTCTGGAGGTCCAGCATTTTACAGGGGCCTCTCTGATACAAAAAATTCTTTATTCTGAGGTCTACTGGAGGGACCCCTACTCAGCAATTTCTACCAGGGTTGGGGCCATTCCGGAATGCATTGATCAATTCCAGTCCAAATCAGGAAATGGAACTGGAGTTGGAACTTGAATTTGAATTTCAGGGAAATTTAACTCCAATTCTGTTCCCCGTAGTTTTTTTTCCAATCCCAACTCCAGTTCCATTTCCTGATTTGGACTGGAATTGATCAATGCATTCCGGAATCGCCCCCAACCCTGATTTCTACCACGGTGGGTGAATAACCCCCGCCCCCGGTTCAGCATTTCATTTGTGTGTTTTGTTCTAAAGCCAAAGTACATTTGCTACCCAGATAAACAGCTTTAAACATTTCTTTGGACTGCCTAAGACTTTTGCACAGTGATGTAAATTAAAGGTTAAAAGAACATTATGAAAAGTGATGGACTGGAAGTATGAAGTTTAAAATGCTGAAATGAGGCATGTTTCTATTATATTTCATTTTACAATTTAAGAAATCCCACACAGGAGGGACTGGTTGTTGAGAGGTTTGATTTTGTGAATTTCGCAATATGTTGGACTAGTTCCTACGGATATATCCATAGAACTGGGACTCTATAATCCATACCGGATGTTCTGTGTCTGCCTGGGGGTTAGGACAAAATTAAAAACAGGAAGAAATACTACAGGAAACTGTTTTAACACAAACCAGGCTTCAGGGAAGGAAGTTTATAGCACTATAAGAAAACATTAAAATGTAAATGGTGAAAAGAACACAGAGAAAAGAGTAAAACTGTTAATCAGAAAGCCAATACTTCCATTAAATAAGAGATATGAGAGAAGCTGCGGACATGTCTGCATAATGTCATTACTGCTGTCATAAGGCTGTCACTGCAGTCATAATGGTGACATCATCCAGGGTCAGGAAGATCACGAATATGGAAGATACTCAGAGGAGGGGAGAAAGGACCTGAGCAGAGGGGGGG